CCCACTCCCTCCCCCCAAAAATATCAGCAAATAAAAAATAGTTTTTAGGGTCATTTCAAGCAAGCAGTTTCTCCCAAAACCACAGCCAAGGAGCATAATATCTGGTGTTACGGGCCTTTACGGGTGTTCCCATTTCCCCGATCACGGAGAGCGAGGTAAGCTTTGAGGAACCTTCCGTGCAATAGCACGTTTTGACACGGTTCACCAAGTGTAGAGAATACAGTGGCGTCCTAAACAAACTTGAAAATGTAATCATCCAGGCATCGTGTTAAAGCTTTGCGCTACACACTCATGCAGTTCACCAAGTTAAAGCTAAATGAATTCTGCATCTGCTGGCACATTAATATTTCATCTTTGTTAAGAGACGCCCGAGATATGGTCTCTCTATATTGACCTTTTTAAAAAATCAGGATTGGCAAAGTTGTCCGATATCAAAGAAACGTAAAATTGTCTTCGTGCGTGTATTCAGGAGCATCAATATTGATAGAATGGACAGACATTGCATACCTAAGGAACTGAGATTTTAGTCTTTGAAATAAACAATGTTTTATTACCAAAGTTTCAAATAAAACGAAAAAACAGAGCAGTCAAAGATACCACGCAAATTAGACCTAACATTAAATGTGCCCATTGTTACTTTCCTTTAGAGTTATTGGTTTTGAGTAGAGCACGCACTCTTCGGGCATCGACTCTCTTAAATTTTGGACATAATTTTCAGTCATTTAATCCCAAATGCCACAGAGAGTTGCAAACAAGGTTTGAATTGGGAGCAAAGTCGCTTTTCTTCAGCTGCTGTTTCATGGGGTCTTTACTTACTTACCGGTGTGATTCAAACCGTGGTTATAATTTATTTACTGGTGACCACTCCAACGTTGATTTGATTTGGTTTTCCAAGAATTGTCTAGCGGCATTCGCCCTGTGAGAAAGTGCTTAGCTGTGCATGGAACTGTCTACTAAAATGACTCCACGACGAACATACGAGTAAGACATGATGTTCCATCACTTGCGTGATGTAGTCCACTAAAGCAAGCCATTCGGTGGGAGGTTTTATTCATTCCACCCCAGACCACCCAAAACCATGGCAGTTTCTTGATCTCTGCTCCTCTCTGACAGATGATTATGTCCAGAATCCACCAAACACAGTCCATGTGCTAAAAGGTTTCATGCTCTACACGTAACAGACAGTCAGGCAGTCCGGCAGACAGTCCGACAGTCAGACAGTCAGACAGACAGACAGACAGACAGACAGACAGACAGACAGACAGACAGACAGACAGACACAGCATTTCTCGCAAAAGTAAAATCTCTCTCCCAACGTACAAGGACCGAAAATCTTTTGTGGAAACTTTCTTCGTAGAAAAATAGAAAAATGCGGAGGTTTTCCAAACGATTTGCTAAGGAAGTTATTGGTCATGTGAGCAATGTTATTAGTTCAATAATGTCATTATACACTGTACAGCGTGTTATCATCGTGCTGAAATAGACCCAAGCACACACACAAACACACAACTACACACCCACAACCAAATATATCTAAAACAAAGCGCCAAATCTTCCGGGGCAGTAAGCGTGTATGTCTGATGGGGTGAGTCTATGTTATGCCCAGTACACACTGACAGTTTGATTCATTTGTCTGAGTTGGGACTAGCCTGACTTTCCTTCCTTAAGGGGACAAAAGATACCAAATTGGAACAACTAGATCGAATTCAACTACACTCGACGGTGACCTTCAAAGCAAACACTTTTGGTTTTCAAGGTCGAGAGTCGAACCAGTCGTATTGAGCCAAAAATGTAACTTGTTTGCCCCCATCCTTTTAGGTTTAGTAAAAGTTTTACGGAATTTTCAAAACAAATTCTCTATCCATGAAGAAAAAATCTGGACGTTTCAAACTCAATCAAATGAATCTGATTGGCTGTATGTACCGGACTTAATTTATGCGTGAACAATGAACGTGTGCTGGGGTGAGTCTACGTAAGAAGCATTAGTTTGTGAGTCAAGGCCTACGATACGGTTTGCGGGGCACAGTCGGGCATGCATGCACGCTTGTGTATGCTCGTGTGCTATACCTATATCACAGAGGGGTCCCTTGAAGCCCTGCGGACACTCACAGACCCCGTGAGGATTGCACGTGCCGCCATTCCTGCAGCCTTGTTTGCACAGTGAGCTGGTCACTGAGAGGACACACAGACAGACAGACCATGGGGGCGGGGGTTATTAATAAAACCAACACCACAAGTTTGTGCAATATCAAAGATAATATACGTCTTTGGGTAGACACCTGAAGTTTACAGTGATTTCTTTAAAGTTTTCAATTGCAGATGCTTGAATCATCATCATCATCATCATCATCATCATCATCATCATCATCATCATCATCATCATCATCATCATCATCATCGCCAACAACAACGTCATAAGCATCATCAACAACAAACATATCATCATAAACATAAAAACAGAAACATTAACTTCATCATCATATCATCATCATAAACAAGAACAACAATAGCACACCATCATCATCATCATCATCATCATCATCATCATCATCATCATCATCATCATCATCATCATCATCATCACCATCAACTACAACAGTAACAAAAACAACAGCAGCAGTAACAGCAACACGAACAATTACAACAGCAACAATAAAAACTACATCTACAACATTAAACAACAACAACAACAACAACAACAACAACAACAACAACAACAACAACAACAACAACGACATAACAATGAGAAAACTTATGAAAATGAATTTGTCAGAAAATCGCAAACTTCCCTAAAATGTCCCGACAACGATGCTATTTACTTTACCTTTTCCCTTAATCTCACACAATTTACCATTTACATTCGAGAGCAAACATTCCTAAGTAGCCCTAGATCTATCGTAAGAAAACTTGTACTGAGGTGAAAATTACACTTTTAATTGTATTTACTTTTCTGCTAATAAAAAAATACCCCAATAAACAAAACAATCGTTTCCAAAGCCCTCTTCAAATGTTAATTAAACGTAAAATGAAAAAAAGGATGGGGGATGGTTTGCATCCAGAAACAGAGTTTAGAAGAGGATGGGAAAGAAAAACAGGAATGAAGAATGTTGAATTGATTACACGTTTGGCATATCGTATGTCGATAGCCCTAAGGCACAGCGAGCTTATATTTATAAGAGCGTACGCATCGGATTAACAAGTAAATTTCCTCTTTGGAAAGTGGTGGCACAAAGTTCCCCACGTCGTATGGATACGATAGTAAAACACGACGTACAGATAAGGTTAAGTGGTGGCACAGAGTTCCCCACGTCGTATGGATACGATGATAAAACACGACGTACGGATAGAAAAGGACACCCGAAGAGCCATTTTCTGAGTCGTTTTGCCTGCAAAATCTATCTATCTATCTATCTATCTATCTATCTATCTATCTATCTATCTATCTATCTATTTATCGGAGCCATTTTCTGAGAATTATTAGTCTATATCAGCCCAAAATATAATAGGCCCCACACATCTTTCTAGTCCTCCTCCCTGTTTTTTCACATTGTCAAAAATTAAATGATGACTCGATCTGCTCAAATGGATGTCGATAAAAATCGAGTAAGTTAATCGAGTAAGATAATCGACAACCTAGGTATTCGACAAATCACCAAAAGATGCGGTTCTCTTTGAAGTTTGGAAGGTTCACAAAGTTGACATAGCGGCATTCTTTGAAGTGAGGAAGGTTCGCAAAGTTGACATAGCGGCATTCTTTGAAGTTTGGAAGGTTCACAAAGTTGACATAGCGGCATTCTTTGAAGTTTGAAAGGTTCACAAAGTTGACATAGCGGCATTCTTTGAAGTAAGGAAGGTTCGCAAAGCTCATACAACCCTCTCTATTCTTCCATCCGAGAAAAGTCTCCCCAACCCCGCGGCCCGTAGAGCGCACCACCAGCTAGCGTTGTCCAATCACACAATATATATCCAGAGACGGCTCCGACGGAGATAGACAAATCAAAATGCTTGGTGCCTCTAGACCAAGTAAAAACATCTGGGGGGTTACAGGGGGGCATGCCCCGCTATTTAAACCCATAATTTTATATTTTGCTGCTAAGTTTCAAATTTTCTTGAAAATAATTGGTTTGCGACAGTTTTAGTGGCTATATGTGTGATCTGCAGCAAACAATACGCAGTTTGACCCCCCAAATCAGTGTATCTGTGTGCGGGAGCACGTCTCCGAGTAATTTCTGGGTGCTCGCCGGAGACGTCTCCGAATATCTTCTGCCGTCCAATCACCCTCCACTGACACCCTCAGACATTCACTGCCGGCTCGCCGCACGTTTCCAGAACTCTTGCAATGGGGAGATAACTGCAAGCAAGATGTGTCTCCGCCGTTCTGGCCGCCAGCCGGAAGTGAAGTCTTAATGAAGCCCGAGCCGTGGCACAGATGCGCATGCGCTGAAGCTGGGTGCTCGAGCGGACATAAACTTTCCCGCCATCTCGCCGGGCCTGGACAAGATACAAGCCGGCGGTCCTTTCTGGCAGCTGTACCGGCGGGTAGACAAAGGGAGGCAACGAGGTAAGATCTCGCCCGGGATTTATGGCGTCCCATCTTCCCGTGGTTTATGTGGGGCAAAGGCCGATAGCAAATTGTTTTGAGAGCGTTCACGGGTTGTGCGTTTATCGTCTGCTTTTGGCGGGGCTCAAGTCTTCGGGTACTTCTGGTTTCTGCTTGCCAGATTTTCGTGCGCGCACCGGTGTGAAATACGTGGCATCCTGTGAGTGGCCTTTTGTCTCCGCGGGTTTTTGGTTAACCCAATTTCTTCCCCGCTATCGGACGCCTGTCTTATGGTTTTCTTCTCAGTTCGATAATAATTGTGTGTGGGTGTGAGTGTGTGTGTGTGTGTGCGTGTGTGTG